AATGAATCCAATTTTCTATCACCAGTTGATACCAGTTGTCGACTATTCGTAGCCTATATTAGAGCACCAAATGTAATATGGGCTACAATTGTGTCCAATGTTTCCCAAGAATAAACTCTTTCAATATCAAAGAAATTAGTTCTAATATTATATGATTTAATTTAGACTCAATCAAACTGATCGATGAAATGTGTGCTCAGTTGTTGCTATAACGTTAAGACTAATATTGTACAGTACAGTATAATATCAAATAGTGCTTTATTTATTTTAGAATAATTTTATATTATTTACTGTATAAATTTTCCTATCATATATAATACAAAATATCACCTAATTTCTACAAATGCTATACATATTTTAATATTTTATACAACGAATCCATTGCATCTGTACAATTTGCTATAAACTGTAAGCCTTACAGTTAGTCTTACAGTTTAAAAGATTTTAAGTATAGCAAACTTTTTTATTTTACAGTGTTTTAAAACAGCTAATGTTTTAAAATAATATAATAAAAAATTATTATTGTTAATATTGTGATTATATTTATGTAATGTAATAAATTTTGTAAATAAGTTGCAGTGTTTACATATTACCTTATAGGAAAATGACTGAAAAATATCTTTAAAATACCCTACATTTACGTTATTTTGATTTACAAACCAAATTTTTCAAATGTTTTTTACTATTGTTAAAAACAAAATATAAATAATATTTAATATAAAAATTTACATCTTTTTTTGATAAAAGAAATGGAAATCTCATTGGAAGTGAGGGATGGCAAGGAATCGTTCATAAGCTGTGATGACTCTAATGGAAAGAGTTGTCCAAATGATGTGCAAATAATGGAGGATATGATTGCATTGAATTCAATGAAAAGTGACAATAAATGCGACGATGAAGTAGATCTGGAGGAAAATGCCTGCGGATGGCGTTATTTTCGACCCAAAAGTCTTCAGAAGTATCGTACGACCCGTTGGGTGTTGTTCTGGTTGTGTTGGGCCGGAGCTCTGCAGGGATTTATAGTGAATGGATGCGTGAATGTTGTCATTACGACCATTGAGAAGAGATATCAAATGAAGAGCACAGAATCGGGACTAATAGCCGGCGGTTATGATGTCGGCGCCTTNGTTCTGGTTGTGTTGGGCCGGAGCTCTGCAGGGATTTATAGTGAATGGATGCGTGAATGTTGTCATTACGACCATTGAGAAGAGATATCAAATGAAGAGCACAGAATCGGGACTAATAGCCGGCGGTTATGATGTCGGCGCCTTTCTCTTTCTGGCACCCATTTCTTACTTCGGTGGCACCAGATCTAAGCCTTTGTTCATTAGCTCCGGGATCATTGTTATGGGTATGCATTTTGATTCGTAGTTCATAGTAATTAGGATAAAATGACATATTTCCTCAATGAGTAAAATTATTTATACCGTAAATACACTTTCCATACAAGTTAAAATATGTACTGTATCCTTATTTCACAACTCGTATTGATACAGCTACTCGTGTAAACTTTTATTAAATTTTAAGTTAATCATGCGTTTTGTCATTTACAGTATCTTTTATTTTAGTTTTGATACAGTAGTATATAGTTACAGTTATATTTTTAAAAATATAACTTATAAATATAAACTTATAAGTTATAACTTAGAAATATTAATCAGTTTTTGATTGAAGCGATTCCTTATTTTAAGAGGAAATTTTGTTAATAAAAATTTTTACATTAATATTCAATTGCATTAATTATTACTTTTAACATCTAATGAAATCTTGAAATCTTGAAAATATGTAGTCTTTCTGATTGATCTCATTAATGAGCGCTAAATTTAAGACAACTAATATAAAAACCCAATTTATGAATCATAAACGAAACAATTAACTGATGAATTGCAATGATTTACAACTTATATTCAGGTGTAGGCGCTCTGGTATTCTCTTTGCCTCACTTTACTTCTGGCAGATATGAGTTCAGTGAAGAAGTGGACAGCATTTGTCTCAAGACTCTCAACACATTCAATGAAACCTCGAATACATTTTGTTCGAAACAGAACTCTCATAAAAACTTATCTAATTATAAATGGATTTTCTTTTTCGGACAATTCCTTCATGGAGTATAGAGCCAACTCGTGGTCCTCTTCGAGCACGCGTCCGGTTATGCGTTATTCCGGGTGTCGGAGGCCGAAGAGGTGTCGATGTTTGTGGCGGCCGTCGAGAAGAGCCAATCGGATCCAATCAAATTCCAATCACTCGTCAAACTCATCGCTTTCACGCCCTTTAAGTCGGGAACCAATGCGTTGGACAACATTAACAGCGTATCTGAAGGTATAGTCCACGAAGACCTGCAGCTCTTCCTGGAGACCAATGTTCCGAAGGCCACCAAAAAGGCGAAAGTGGTCTTAGGAGTGGCCGACTCCAAGATCGCCGCTTCCATCCAAGAGTTGTTGGGATTCAGTTGTCAACACTCGGATGTCGTGCCCGAAGTCCTTCGCGGGATTCGCCAGCACTTCCACACTCTGATCAAAGGTCTTTCGGTGGACTCCGTGGGCTCTGCGGAGTGCAGTCTTGGGCGCAGTTACTCGCGATCTAAGGTTAAGTTCAATGTTAACAGAGCCGACAATATGATTATACAAAGCATTAGTCTTGTCGATCAACTCGACAAAGACATCAATACTTTTTCGATGAGACTTCGGGAGTGGTATTCGTATCACTTCCCGGAACTCGTGAAGATTGTGAACGACAACTATTTGTACGCAAAAGTGGCGAAAGTCATCAAAAACAGAAAGGATTGCTTAGATAATGACGAAGACTTGACTGAGAAGTTGGAGGAGATATTGATGGATAGCGCCAAAACACAGGCCATTGTGAGCGCCTCCAAGTCATCGATGGGAATGGATATCTCGGAAATCGATTTAATTAATATCGAAATGTTTACCTCAAAAGTCATTTCTTTAGCCGAATATCGCAAACAACTGATGGAGTACTTGATGTCTCGCATGCATAACATCGCTCCCAATTTGGCGACACTTATCGGCGAAACGGTATGACTAGTGACTAGACCTCAGACCCCACTCTACAGTATATCTAACTTACACTTCCATTGATAGGTCGGCGCACGTCTCATATCACACGCGGGAAGTCTAATGAATTTAGCGAAATACCCGGCCTCTACTGTCCAGATATTAGGCGCTGAAAAGGCTCTGTTTAGAGCTCTCAAGACCAAAGGAAATACACCGAAATATGGACTCATATTTCACTCGACTTTCATCGGACGCGCCGGCGCTAAGAATAAGGGAAGGATTTCGCGATTTTTAGCCAACAAATGCTCGATCGCTGCGCGAATTGATTGTTTCAATGACTTCCCGACCGATATCTTTGGATCAAAACTCAAAGAACAAGTGGAGGATAGGCTGAAGTTCTTCGAGAGCGGAGATATCCCTAAGAAGAACATCGAAGTGATGAAAGAGGCCATCGAAGAGGCGAAGACTTTATTGGAAAGCAGTTCTAAGAAGAAGAAAAAGAAGAAGAGGAAGAAGGATGCGGATAATGAAGAGGCCAACGAATCCATGAAGTCATTGAACGGAGACATAGAAGAGGTTGAGACGAATGGAGACATCGAAGAGCCGCCCAATAAGAAGCAGAAGAAGAAGAAGAGGAAATCGAAATCAACGGACGAATGAATAGATTTTGATTATTAATTACATTTTGACTCTATTTTGCAGATTATTTTAAAATCACAGAAATATTTCATTAAAATTCTGTTGAATTTATTCATTAAAATAAGATGTTTATTATTTTTGAATACCAGAGCTGTTGGTACCTGTAGTTCATTGCCAATCAATAAAGCATTCAATTCTTTAAACGAATCCTAATTTGTGTATCGATTGATATTTAATTGATATTTAATTTTCAAATAATGTGAAACCGATTGAAATGGTCATTGAGAGCGTGATTGACACGTGTTTTGTGTCGCCTTTCAGCCATCGTATGACTCAATGTTTGTTTCATTTGTTTGTTTTGATGACAACTTTTCAAAGCATTCATTCATAACTCGTGTCCACACAATGTCTTCATCGCTAGTGATGGCTAAATGTTTGGGTCAACCCCTCAACCAAACCATCAAAGTGTTGATCCCTAAACTCAAATTCGACACATTCCTCAACATGTACTTCAGGGACACGGAACAGATTCTGGCCGATGACCACAACCACGACTGCAAACCCGGCGATTGGCTTCTCGTGAAGAAATTGGATCAGCCGTTGAGTCTTCGAGTGGACCATCGCGTCGAGCGCGTCGTCTACAGAGCCGGTCATGTCGTGGATCCGTTGAGTGGCAAACAGTCTTTGGGTTACGAATACGTGTCCGACGCCGACAGACAATCGCAAGTATTTGGTCTCAAACCTCCGCTCCAGAGGACACCAAACAACAGATAAATTGTTTTCAATTCACTTATCGTTTGTTAGCAAATAATATCATTCATGTAATCAATAGTTTAAAAGCTTTATTCATTAGATATAATAAATTAAAAACAATTATTGTATTGGCTTTTCATTTATACCTTAAAAATGAGTTAAAATTTGTATTAAATTGTATAAAACGTATAGAAATGAATAAATATATCATAATTTGGTTGAGTTATCGTTGAGATTAAGTTTTGGACAAAAATTGATAGGTTGAGCACTCATTTCCATCCCCTCGTTATGGAGAGACTGGAGTCCATTCTGTGGGCCGGCATTGGTCTCAGTTTGTGGACTCTTATAGAGAAACCACGAGAAGAATAGAAATATAAAGGAAAGCACTTTAAGGAAGAATACAATCCCCAAGATATTGGTTGCCATCAGTTGGTTGTCATATACAAGACAAGCGCCACTCGACTTATCACATGTTTTTTGCCATAATATACAACTCAAGTCAATCAATGAGCCGAATATGAGTGGCGCCGGTATTGTACCCAAAATGCGGACTCCGATCCATTGGATCCCCAAAGCAAACGATTTTTGACTGTCGGCAACACATCTGTTGAAAAATGAGTTAATTTTTATATTCCTAATTAAGGTTAAGATATTTGGGTTTACCTTAAAGTTGCAGTCAATGAAGGCATTGCAATTAAAAAGGCAAAGAATTCACACAAGAATATCATAAACAAAAAATACGGCAATAATTTGCATTCAGATTCACATTTGTTTCTTTTGGCTTCAATCGTAAATCCACTCGATATGGGATTCATTTGTGAGCTATTCATGAGTGGTTTAAGACACTTGCAGTCAGAATAATGTTTCGAGTTTTCCGATAGAGAGACGTGACGACAGCCGGCATAACAGGCGCTGTAATACATCTGATTGTTTAGACCACAGACCGGATCGTATTGATAGGACGAACAGAAACAATCGGAATTGCATTTGGAATCGATATCTAAAACGGTTGAGCTTTGGTTAGGATATGCGTCCGTAAGGCCCGCAAAGTTCACGTTTGGACACGAGATTAGGAAAGCACTGCTCAGACATATGGAGACCACAGAACAAAAGATACAGAATTTAATAATTGCGGCACACTTTAGGTCATATCTGTTGACAATATAACCGCCGAGGAATGTGCCGCCACCGGCGCCAGGGATTGAGACAATGCCGACCATAAGAGCTGCTGTACTCGTCGCCAAACTGAACTGTTGTTCAATTATTTTGGGTAAAAATGAGGCCAACGCCGACAAAACCATACCTTTAAATATAGCAAAAGGAAATTAGTTGTATTCAAGCAATAATAAAAAATTAATTACACCGTATGAATACAAATGACAAATAAATACATACCCTCTGAAGCTCCGGTAAGATTGAGGAACATAAACGTGGGATTCCGTAATAAAATCATCAGAGATTTAGGAAAGTCTTTAACACTTTGGCCAAAATCTTTGTTGTCAACCGCATCGGTGTTGTTGTGTATTGAATGCGCTTCCGATACCTTTTGTTTTCGGATATTCTTTGTGTCTAAAAATGTTCAAATATTAGACTAAATATAGTAAAAGTCAATTAATATTTAATATATTTCATATGAAATACCCGGCAATTCTTTAGGGAACAGAGATATTGGAAAGAATATTACTAAAGATAACATAAAGCCAATGATGAACACTAGATACCAGGCGCCCACCCATACGGGACTCGTATTGCTGAGTCCCAACTCTTTAGAGTCGACTGAAATCCAGTCAACATAAAGCCATTTAAGCATTTGTCCGCCGAATACATAACCCACAGCCGGACCCACAATTGCCATCGAATAAAAAATTCCTTTAAATTATAATTTGTGAAAATTAATATTGCACAATCTTTTAAAATAAATATTACGGTAAAACAATTATTTACCCAAATATAATGAGGACAGTTTTGTAGGCAAACTCTCATCCAAATAAGTGCAGCCTTTATATCAATTGAGATGTGAATGAAACTTAAATAATTAGTGTGTTATTTCTCTATTACTCTCACCTAAGGTGTAAAGTGGTGTCGCTATCAAAGACAACAACAATTTAAATTAATTGTTTTATAAGCAATTAAATGATTGATTGAATGCTTACCTCCGACTCCATGAAGGAATTGTCCGAAAAAGAAAATCCATTTATAATTAGATAAGTTTTTATGAGAGTTCTGTTTCGAACAAAATGTATTCGAGGTTTCATTGAATGTGTTGAGAGTCTTGAGACAAATGCTTTCCACTTCTTCACTGAACTCATATCTGCCAGAAGTAAAGTAAGGCAAAGAGAATACCAGAGCGCCTACACCTGAATATAAGTTGTAAATCATTGCAATTCATCAGTTAATTGTTTTGTTTATGATTCATAAATTGGGTTTTATATTAGTTGTCTTAAATTTAGCGCTCATGAGATCAATCAGAAAGACTACATTTTTTTTCAAGATTTCATTAGATGTTAAAAGTAATAATTAATGCAATTGAATATGAATGTAAAATTTTTTTATTGACAAAATTTCCTCTTAAAATAAGGAATCGCTGCAATCAAAAACTCATTAATATTTATAAGTTATATTTTTATAAATATATACTACTGTATCAAAACTAAAATAAAAGATACTGTAAATGACAAAACGCGTGATTAACTTGAAATTTAATAAAAGTTTACACGAGTAACTGTATCAATACGAGTTGTGAAATAAGGATACAGTACATATTTGAACTTGTATGTCAAATTCATAAAGTGTACTTATTTATAAATAAATAATTTTACTCATTGGAGGAAATATGTCATTTTAGCCTAATTAGTAATTACTATGAATTACGAATCAAAATGCATACCCATAACAATGATCCCGGAGCTAATGAACAAAGGCTTAGATCTGGTGCCACCGAAGTAGGAAATGGGTGCCAGAAAGAGGAAGGCGCCGACATCATAACCGCCGGCTATTAGTCCCGATTCTGTGCTCTTCATTTGATATCTCTTCTCAATGGTCGTAATGACAACATTCACGCATCCATTCACTATAAATCCCTGCAGAGCTCCGG